GACGACAGCGACACAGTGGTGTAAATCGAAGGTGCTAAATATAATGGAGTGATCATTACCGGGTGCATGATCTCCTTTAGTATCTATCTCATGTCACACGTGGACATGGACATTATCTGCTACGACAACACGAGGCTTCTGTAACAGACCCGCACTGCGCAGTCTGTTTTCGCGCATACACTCATGAGCCCGCATCGTCCAGACATCGTTCGACCGCGCCTGCGTCACCCGTGCCCACGCAGGGCTGTGCAGCGCGGACCGCTCGAGCCCTCTCCCGCTCCCCATGCGTATCTAATGTGCAACACCTGATCTACTTTTGAAACATGTAGACATAACCTTTGCACCATACAAAAAGACAGATGAAACACTTGACACATGCGTTTGAAACACCTGAAAAACACTTGAAAAACATTGTAAACATAAGCAACATCTAGATAAAACACTTACAACATATGTGTACAACCATTGCAACATATGCAATATCCCGATCTACTTTTGCAACATCCGTATAAAACATTTGCAACATACCTCTAAAACGTCTGAAACATTTAAAATGTACGCTTGAAACATGCATCGTATCGTGGTGCGGCCTCCTCCGCCATTTGCATCAGGGCGCCGCAGCCGTAGCAAGAGGTGAGGCCAGAGGGCTTCCGTGCCAGGGCCCGACGCTTCTCCTTGCGTTGGCGGCGCCTGTCGGCATTGTCAATCGCGAACACGCGCGCAGCGACCTCAGTGGCCATCTGGCGGCCGCGGTGCAGTTCCCGCGTCGTCAGGCGAGGCGGGCGGTGGAGCAAGCGGCAGGAGCAGAGGCACTGCAGGGTGACCGTCGATGGCGAAGCAGAGCAGAGCAGGGGTGTGGGCGGGCAGTATGGTGGAAGCGCCTGTGGCGGTGGATAACGTCGACGCGAGATGAGGAAATGTAGCTCTGTATTTTTTTATTAGTAAAGGAATGAAGGTAGATGGCAGGAGACCTGTTAGGCCGGTCCGCAGGCCTAGAAAGAAGTGTCCGGGAGGCGAGGCGAGGAACAGCCATTGCATTACAGCAGGACAGAGACTCAGAGAGACTGGGTGATGGGCTGCTGGTGTGTGGTAAGTGAAGTGTGGAGCAAGTGTGAGTGTGCGTGTGGTGAAGAGGGCAGGTCTGACAGGAACAGGATAAGGTCGAACCTCTGTTCACACGGCCCAGCCCAAGAGCGACTTATTAGACGGACATATATAATACTAGGTAGGCAGACTAAGGGTGTTTGGCACGGCTGCTCTCGAGGGGCTCCTCCAGAGGAGCAAGAGCCGTTGTGGCCTCCACAATGGCTCTGGCTTATCTGTTTTTTACTGAAAAACGGCTCCTTTAGAAAAATGTTTGGAGGGGGCTTCTCCGCAGGAGGAGGAGCCGAAACTGAGAAAGAGCCCTGCCAAACAGACTCTGATTCTCCATGCCTATCCTGTTCGACGCATGGAACAGCAAGGCGATCATATGCTGCATGGGGCCAGTGGCGGAGCCACCGCCCGGGCTCCTCAGCAAACTTGAAAAGGAAAATTCCTATATATCAAAGAAAAAAGTTATAATTTGCTAGGTAAAGGAAAATTCCTATATATCAAAGAAAAATGTTATAATTTGCTAGGTAAATATCTTTGCACAAGAGTATCTGAAAAACTTCTGGCTCCGCCACTGCATGGGGGCGCGGCGCTATGACCGACCAGCAGTTAGCCTAGTTAGGCCCCGTTTGGCACGGCTCGCGCCGGCTCCGGCTTTATCTGACAAAACACTGTAGCACGAAGCCAGTTTCCTCTCCCCAACTTTCTGTTTCACTGTAGCACGCGACTGTAGCAAGCGGGGAAAAGCCAGGAAAATGGCTTCTCCGGCTTTGATGAACAGTGCCGATGTCAGTGAGAGGGCGGGGAGGAGAGAGAAAACCGACTTCGTGCTACAGTGTTGGTACAGTGCCGATGTCAGCTAAACCGGAGCCGGCGCGAGCCAAACGGGGCCTTAGTTAATTTGTTACGTACGGTACGTACGATGCAAAGAACAATACTCCCAATCCGATGGACCTGGACGTACGATCCTGTGCCGGCCTGTGCGCGTATGCATGCATGGACGAGCGAGCCAGCAAGGGAGGCATGCAGCAAGCTTGCATGTGCCCGTAGGTATCTAGCATGCCATGAAAGGCAATAGCCGGTCGTCCCGGCCATCACGCTAGCTGTAGGAGGTCCGGCAAATATTTCTTTCGACGACGTCTATCGTGTGGGCGTGCAGCGGCGGCGCGTACGCGATTCGGTCCTGCTCTCGGTCGAGTACGTTCCTCTCGACGTGGCGAGTCTCCGCGTGTGTGAGTAAAACCTAGTGTACAACGGGCTTTGGCGGCGAGGTAGGATATGGCACACAAGAGGTGGCTCGGCGCAGGGAGCAACGGGCATGTGCGCGCGTCTATGATCTCGCTAGCTTTGTAATTCTGGTGCTATCTATGCCGTACGCAGCATACCAGCATTGATAAGCATGAAGACCCTTAAATTGTGACCCTCCAACGGTTCATGTACATGGGTCACATGCCCTTAAAGGCAAAAATAAGCTTCCCATTAGGAGAAGAGTAGACGTCACGCTGCATTACTAACTGGAGTCGATGTCTGCGACATGTGCTTTTCGGGATGGATATGGGTAATTCTTTTTCTTTATTTATCCAATAGAGATGGCGAGGTGAGGGCACGGGGAGTGGGTCAGTGGGAGTGGATTATCTATGGGTAACCAAATTTCAGAAAGCTTGACTAACATGCAAATAATGATGCTTTTTAAAGAGTAAAATTCACGGTCGGTCCTTAAACTTGGCCAACAGTAAAATTCAAAATCTATAAACTTAGAACACATATTTAGGACACTAAACAATATCAAATAAAAAACTTTTCAATTACAAATTTGTAGATCGTATTGAGAACTACAACTTTCGTATAGGCATTATCAACATCCAAGATTGTTGGATAATTTCAAATTTTAAATTTCGAAATCTGTGAACTTACAACAATATTTTGGGACCCTAAACAATTTTAATTCAAAATCATTTCAACAACAAAGTTGTAGATCCTGTCGAGGGCTACAATTTTGATATAAAGTTTGTCTTCATCTGAGTTCATGTGAAAAAAGTTATGAATTTTTTTAAAAAAAATCGGTGTGCCACGTCAGCGTATTTAGTGGGTTAGGCCCCGTTTGGACTCGGATGAGACTCAAAACCAAGTTTAGGGTCTGAAATGACACCACTAGCTAAGTTAGGGACCAACGGTGAACACTTTAAAAGTTCATGGACCGGGATGACACTGTTGACCAAGTTTAGGTACCCGTAGATATCACTTTGAAATTTCAGAGACCGCGATGACACTGACGGCTAAGTTTAAGGACTGACGGTGAATTTTACTTTCTAAATAAGGAACGGCGAACAAAAGTTTGGCAGCCCACTCCGATCGATAATATGACGGCTGTCTTGCACAATCAAACTCAGGCAACAGCCGCTGACTCTGAAAACTAAAACGCGGATCGCACAACTGCATGCACAAGCCAAATCCATGGAGCAACGCAAATGCTGGCACGCGGTCGTCCGTCCCATCTGCACGCTGCCTTACTAGACATGCGCAGCGGACATGTCCAATAGGCGTGCTCACCTCTATAATTCTTCTATCTCTGAAATTTTTTCCCTACTCGCACTCGCATCGGGGCCACGAGTAGGCGTCGGAGAATGGCAGGAGGAGCGATGGGCCACGCCGACGAGTGTGAGCGTGCTGAGCGATGTCCCCCTAACCCGAGCTTGCTGGCTACCACACTTCCCCACCAGGTAGGCCGTGGCCGTCGGCGACGCCGTGTTTCAAGTGTTTCAGACGTTTCAGACTTATGTTTCAAGTGTTTTATCTGGATGTTGCAAAAATATATCTAAGATGTTGCATATGTTGCAATGACAATATACGCATGTTGCAAGCATATGTTTTCAAGTTTTTCAAGAGTTTAAGACGTATGTTTCAGACCTTGTTTGGATGTTATCGAATTCACCTCAATCCATATGTGTTGGGGTGGAATTTAGTTCAAGTTCCACTTCAATCCACCTTAACACATGTGGATTGATTCGAATCTGACTACGTCCAAACAAAGCCTCAAGTGTTTCATCTGGATGTTGCAAAAGTAGATCTGGATGTTGCATATACATGCATGTTGCAAGGGTATGTTTTCAAGTGTTTCTTGTGTTTCATACGTATGTTGCAAGTATTTTATCTAGATGTTGCATATGTTTTGCAATGACTACATGCGTGTTTTTCAAGTGTTTTAGACGTATCTTGCAAATATTTCAGCTGTTTCGAATGTATATTGCAAGTGTTTCATCTGAGTGCTGCAAAAGTATATCTAGGATTGCACATGTTGCAACAGAACCCACCTATAGCCGCCTGGCGCAGCTGCTATGGCACCATGCATGCACGTGGGAAGCGGAGGGGGATAGAGGCAGGGGCACGACACGGGCGGTCCTAGGCGCGTGAAACGGGAGTTGTTGGGGCGCTGTGCATGCACCGGGTGCAGGAAGCAGAGGGGAATGGGCATGCAGCCCCGCGTGTATTCGGTCGCTGGAAGTAGGGGGGCGCGGGTATCCGAAAGGGAGGTGCGGAGGTTCCCACGTGTGTGCGACGTGCGTGAAATAGAGTAGCAGCGCCGGCGTCCGGACGCTAGCCACGCCCATAGAGGAACGTCGTCTACACATCAACAAAATAATTTCAAGCCACATGTGGACATAAAAAAAAAGAGTAACCTGTAATCAAATTCAGACCCAAACTCGAAAATCTCTTATAAAAGAAATAGACACCACACACACAGGGGGTTGTAAAAAAACAGTAATCGTCAAAAGCATGCTACGTTTACAATTGTACCATCAAAACCAATGCATTTGGACGGGCATCTACCAATTGATCAGCACTCAGCAGCAGCATCCTTTAATTTTTGTCAGATAGACGAGAAGGAGGAAAGGAGCTGGACGGATGGATCACGACAGCTGGGTGCAGTTGCCGGTGCCGCAGCCGCAGGTGTGGGGCGTGAAGGCGCAGGTGCCGAAGGGCTTGCCGGGGAGGTCGCAATCGATGGCGTAGCAGCAGCTGGTGTCCACACAGCGGCTCACGTTGGACGACGAGCAGCACCGGCACCCCTGGCACAGCTCGAACGGCTCGTACGACGACACCGCCTCCGTCGCCGTCGTCGTCGATGGCCGGTACACCACGCTCTTCACCGGCACGTACTCCTCCGGTGATGCTGATGCTGACGGTCTCCTGTTGGACTGCTTCAGCTGCGTGCCTCCTGCTTGTTCGTTTCATGGGCAGGGGATTGGATTACATATTAGAAATGAATCAAGAACACATGCATATGAGGATCCAACCGAGCAACCATGGATAATGAGCTAGCTAGTGAGATCGATGGACGACGTACGGCGGCCACGGATGGACAGTCGATTTTGGTACGTACCTTGAACTTGGAGGGCGAGGGATAGGACGAGCACGAGGGAGATGTTGAAGGCGGCACCACGAGTAGCCATGGCAAATGGGTTTGCTTTGCTTTGCTTTGGTGAGAAAGGAAGAAGGGCTAAACGCACTGCCACTACTAAAATGGTTTTGGAAGATGGTATGCAATACAAGGACTCGCCAGTGGGCCGTGGCCAGTACTAAAATGTTCACAAGTCTCGCCAGCACGGACGACTCGGTCTAAGAATGTGTTCTAAGACTGGAACTGCAAAAGCTCTGTTCGCTTGACTTATAAGCCGTACTTTTTCAGTCAACGAACAATATTTTTCTCTCATAATAAATCAACCGGTACTTTCAGCGTGACTTATCAGTAAAGGGCAATAACAAACACGCAACGGATCAATAAAGGCAATACGGTGCAGCCGCTGAGCAATCGACCGAACAAATGTTGTGCGTGCCAGTTTCATGAAAGCGACTGACATTTCTCTGTCAAGCAAATAAAGGGAATATGGAATAAGAATGGACTACTTTTTCCACACTTTCGCATTACATGTCACTAGCAGTGACACAACACCCCTACCAAACCAAACGCCCAAAAGACAACTAGTATATCAAGGAGCACAGAAATAGATAGCGATAACCACAGAGGCGAGGTTTGCTTTTCTTATAATCCATACTTTTCAGCTTCTTTTTTAGCCGGAACAGTATTTTGGCTTATTTTTTCAGCGAAACGAACGGGGCCAAAGCTGCGCAAGTGTCTGCAAGATCATGGTCATCAGACCATTGTATTTGAACGAACACTTATAGCTGGTGACACTATAAGTATACCAACACGGATCATATATTCTATACTTATATATAAATTGAAAAAGAAACACGGATTATATCATTTTGACACTAGTTTCGATCTGCTCTAAGACAAACTAGTTTTCGGTCGACCGGCTAATAAGGTTATTTGTGGTGAAACCTGCCTACCCATCGGGATTTAATGATGTCGTAGGCAACGTGCCCAATGCAGCACCCTGTTCGTTTGGGCTGGTTTGACTTATAAGCCATGGCTGAAAGTACTGTTGGCTGGTCTCGTGTGAGAGAAAAATATTGTTCGTTGGCTGATAAGCTATGACTTATAAGCCAAATACGATCGAGCAAACAGGCTGCAAGTATCTGGCTTTTTGAAATTAGTATTTAAACGCGTTGTTTTTCCAGTAGTAGACAACATGCCCAAATCTCAATCTTCGGAGATGTTTACTAGGGGTAGAATGTGTGTATGTGTTCATATGTAGCCCTAGGCATAATTAACGTAATCTTTTTTTTTGGTTGTTGTCCACCTCACAGCGCGGATGCGACCTGACACCATGCATGTAATATGATTGCGATGCCATCGAGAGATGGCAGCTAGCGACGGCGACTACACCTTGAGAGGGCACTCGAGATGTTTTTTAAGTTAAATGTATTAGGGATCCATGGACTTGTCATGATGCATCACTTTGATTCATAAGCTTGAAAAATGTATTTTTGGGTCATCTAACTTGTCAAGTAGTACACCGCAGATCCATATTGCTTCGTCAGCACTTTTTTAGCTGACATGGCATGACAGCATGACGTGCAATTTTGCATTGTCACCCATGTCTTGCTTTTTCTCTTTCCTTCTCATCCCCCTCAGTCTCCTCGTCTTCTCTCTCCCTCCCTCGTCTGTTCTTGCCGATGCCGGCGTCCAAGCACTGCAGGCACACCTGCCCGGCGCCTCCAGGCCCGACGGCCATGGCCAGCCGCCTCACGCCCACGACCGTGATGTAGACGGCGAAGGCCGACGGGGAGCGCAGCGTGGGAGGAAGAGTGGCGGGTGCGACTATGCTGCTGCTTCCCATGCGCAGTGGTGGAGCTCGCTGTCCTCGCGATCGTGCGCGTGCCCGCCGTGTGCCCCGCGCTCGAGCGCGACGCAGGTGTCGGCCTCTGAGTCTCTGACGCCTTGCCGCAGGTGGTTGGTGTGGTGGCGGAGCTCCTCGCCTCGGATACCGCCTCTGCTACAGGTGTCGGCCTCGCCAGACCAAAGTCGGACGCCGAGTCGCCGACTAGCCTAAGGGCATTTCCATAATCCGACGCCCCGCCCGGTTCCTTTGGCAGTCCCGACCCCGCATCGGGCCTCAAGCAGCTGCAACCTGCCACCTAGCCCCCGCGCGGCGAACCAAACGGTGGCGATGGCGCTTCGGTTTATTGCCATCTCTTTGCATCTCCAGCGAGAATGGAAGCACGAAGCTGCGCTCCATCGCGTGATGTCCTTGGCACCACGTACTTGATCTCCCTGGACTACAAGTTGTGCGTGGCACTGTGCGCAAGCTGTGTGTCGGCCGCCGCTCATGGTGTCGCTAGCCGTGAATCCGTGATGAACTTCTGCAGTCGGCGGCCGTGATGTCCTTTCTGCGTTCGAAGTGGAGCATCAAGGACTTTCTACAGTCGTCTGCCTGGAGCAACAAGGACTTCCCGCAGTCGTCTCCGTGCAGCACCAAGGTCTTCTGCCTGACGAAGTGGAGCGGCCGTGATGTCCATGGTGTGCCACTTCATCATGGCACTGTGCAAGCTGTCGGCCGCCGGTCGTGGACGCACAGCCTGCAGAAGGTAGTCCGTGGTGTTGATGAATGATGACTTGATGAGGATGAGCGTGTACCCAGTGTCCGGCAGGCCCAAGAAGTTGGCGTCGTCGGCATAGCGCAAGAAGCAGTAGTCGCACCAGACCCATACGTCCGCTTAGCCCCGGCACGACGATGTGGCCTTAGCTTCTTCGCCGCCGCGAAGATGCACAGCGTGCAGCTGTGTATAGTCTGCTGCGGGATATCGCCGTGGAAATGCGGCAGGCCCTAGATGCCGGAGCTGCCACTACTGGCGCGGTGCGCTTAGCGTATGTAGTAGGCGGCTGAGCCTTGCCGGACCAGTGCGGCGAGCACCTCGTTGATGCTCACGCCTGTGAGTTTCTCTGCACCTTTTTATTCAAAAGGAGAAGAGGGTAAATTTTCTAAGAGATAAGTATATGCATGGGGTTAAATGCAAAAACACAGTTCATGCAGTCATGCCACGTCGATCAAAAAATGCTGACAAAGAACCGTGGACCTGCGATGCATCATTTGACAAGTTAGGTGATCTAGAAATATATTTTTTAAGTTCATAGATCTAAATGGGTACACCATGATAAATTTATGGACTTATGGTGCATTTAACTCTTTTTTTCCATTTGTGTGATTAGGATGATGCTGTACACGTACATTACCATTAAATTTTTTCTGAATCTCACGTACATTAACATTAATTAACACAAGTGACCGAAAATAAACATCTTCGGAGCACGATCTGAGTTCTCAAACCAGCTTGGGCCAATGTACGTAATTGGGCCATACCTCGGGCCATTCTGAGGGCCTCCTCCGATCCAGTCAGCGCGAGCGGGAGAGAAAGAGGCCGACGGGTTTGTATGGGCCAGACGTGGCTGGTTTGGTCATCAAACTGATCTATTCCCTTTTATTTGATTTGATTTCATCTGAAAAAAAAAAGAAAAGATTTCCAAAGCAACTCGGCGAGTGATTTTTTTTCGAGACATATAAGAACCGAAGCTTCTACACATTTCGATTCAACAGACATGGTTCAGATGCTGAGCCACTTTTCTGGTGCAATGCAATGCAATTCTAAAGGGACGTTCCTTGAGCTTGTTATAAGTCGTTGACTTGTTGTGTCTGACACGCGGAGGGCACTCGTCAATACGCTATAGAGTCTCTATAAATTTTAATCTCTATACCTTTATCTAGAGAGCCATTAAATGTATATTCTCTTTGTATATGAGTATATATATCTCTTGTGCCTTCAATGGACTTTTCCATTTTTGTCCTCTATACTCAGATAGTTTATTGTAGTTTTCCTTGCCTCGAAAAAAAAAAAACTACCATATATTGCATTTAGAGAACCCATATAGCCTCTCCAAAGTCTTATTTTTTTAAGTCAAGAGCGAGAATGGTGGCTTTGGAGAGCGGAAAAATGGACAGTAGTCTAGAAAGTCTATTGAAGAAGCATGTGTTTTTTATTTGTTGTTTCCTAAATTTTGAGATAAAGAGCTATATAGAGAGCTCATAAAGATGCTCTTAGATAATGTCTTGGAAACATCGAAGAGAAGAAAGGACCTGAACAATAGTCATTTCTATAGATTTTTGTTAAGAGGACATGCAATTTTTGTTTGCCCGTACGAAAGCACGAACAATTAGACAAGGATAGGCTACGGATGTAGTGATATTACTAGATTTTGTTTTTGGAATTTTTCTATTTTCTTGGTTAAATATTTAAAACTATTGAGTTATCTACTTCACTCATAAGCTTTTGTGAGGCTTATTGTTGTGAGCCTTGGATTGAAACTTGGAACAACATCAGTCGGAAAATAAACAATATGTGGTCTAAAACTTGAACTAACAATGATATTTTTTTTTTTCGAACAATCCTTGGTGAACTCAAATTTACGCACGATGTAGCTAGCTTCACTAACATATATATACCCACCAACTACACCGGAATAGTCTGCTACTCCTACTCCTTGCCAACTTGACGGTGATCTCCGAGATATGTAATCTGTTACGAGCATAAACCTAGTCAAACATGAATTTGTTGACACTAAAAAATGTCTCAAGGTGGATCATGGTCATCGGTAGTAAGTTGCAAACATCATAAACCTGTTGGAGACCGAAAAGCACAACAAAACATTGAAGGAATCACGTGGAGAAGATGGCGAGCCATGCAAGCCCAGATCCAGTAGGCTTAGCCGACTCCACACCCTCTAGTGGACTTAGCCGATTGACAGAGTCAGCACTCCCCCTTTAGCCGGCCAGGCAGAGCCCTGCCCAAGCCTGATAAAGTCGGCTTAGCTGACTCCAGGAGTCGGCTAAGCCGACTCGTGTCTAGAAACCGACTAGGAGACTTTCAAAAGTCGGTTTTGGTATATTTTTGACGTGAGAAACTTGGAGATTACGATTTGGACTTGTTTTCTACTGCGATAAGACCACCCCCTCTCTCTATATATATATATATATGAGAGGACCACGGCCGA